TCTTCTTGGGGCTTTACTATCAATTTTGTCAATGGGGGGGGCAAAGTCAGAGTAAAGCATGATATGCATAATATTCACCTTGGAAAACACATCCTTCTAGATAATGGATGCAGCTGTTGCTATACATTCTACCATGAACTGATACATTTATGACTATATCCAGCAATGACAGTGAGTGAAACTTATTTTGGAGTCAGGTTTAGGCACTTGTAATCTCAGATGTAAAACTAAGACTGCTTACATATTTTGTGGAGAAATGAAGGATCAGCTCAGGGCTTATAAATATCTTAAGATCCTCAAAATTCCAAAGAATGCTAGTGAAAGTAAAAACTGTTATGAATTGTCACATGATAACCTTTTCTGCCATGGATGTTGGCAGCTATCTGATAAAAGGCTTGTCACACATGCTCACTAATGGAATCATCTCTGATCCCTGGTCGTCACAGACCAGAAATATTGAACAAGGAGCACACAGAAACACGATTCTGACTTTGCTTCAGCTGTTTTTATTTTTTAATTTCTTGGCTCTAAACATGATCAGAGGGTCAGAAAAGCATTACACTTACTACAGAGAGATAATAGCCTTAGATTACTACCTTATTAGTTTTATATTTCTAAACAATGTCAGAAGATATCAGACATCCTTGGAACCTCTGACCTAAACTGTGAAACACCATTTATAGCATCAACTAGTGTTTATCAGGAAAAAAAAAAATCCTAAAAGGAATCATAAACACTTCAGTCATGCAGATTACAAGACAGTTTTGTTCCTCATTTTCTGAATCAAGTGTCTTAGCACAGATGAACTATAGTTCACTAACAGTTTAAATGAAAGAAGCAGTTTGCCCTGCCTCATCTCCAGCCACTCTGACTCTCTCTTGCACCAGTCTGAGCAGTGAATCAGACTGAGAATCCAGACTAAAACACATCTCAAAACTGTAAAGTAATTAATTTTAACCCTGTTTATTTAATATGTTCAAGCCATTTGTCAAATCAAAGCATAAGAAATCAAAACTGTACTCCTCAACTCAAAAAGAAAACAAAATGCAAACTTAAAACAGATAAAGGATCTTTTTACCAATACATAAAGTTTTATTTTCTCGCTCGTTCCCAGATTGCATAGTGTGGAGCATACTGTGATACCTGCAAGAGCTAGTGTGTGTTTACTGATGGGTTTTTCAAATGTCCAGTAGACTCCTCTAAGTTAGACTATTGAAGTTTTCTCTGCTCAGAGCATAGAGGCAGGCACTGCCCATCAAATGCCAGATGGCAATTTATATGCCCTGGGAGGGATTTAGTTTGTCTAGCTCTAAGCACTGATGCCCTGGGCAGTCACTTCTTCAAATACTTGACCAAGAAACATCAGCACTTTCGGGGCATGTTGCATGTCAAGAAGAGACCTCCATTCTATCGACTACTTCAAGCCAAGGCATGTCTTGCTGCAGATGGGCTATTTCCTCTCCATTAATGGAAGCTATATAATGTAGACATGGATTTACAAATCCCAGAAATTGTAAGGTGAAACTTTGCTGTTTGTTTCTAAGCATGTGACTTCCCTGCCAAGTACATTTTTCCTGTAGAACCTCAAAAAGAAAGTTTCAGTGAAGCAGCCTTGGCAGGGGAAGGACAGGAGACATCAGCCCTAAACCCATGATTTGCTGTTTTATTCCACAAAATTATCATAAGAAGTGCAAGTCATAAAAACAGGCATAAAAACAGCATACCTACTGTGACAAGTTTGCCAAAGGACCATCATTGTACCTTTTAGGTTTTTGCCCTAGTTGGTATCTGTGAAAAATGTGCAGCTAACATCACTGCCTTGTATTGAGAATTGAACAACTGTGTGCTCACTAATCTCTGCATATCATTCCTGAATTGAAGCATCCCTGCTATTTCTAGAACTGCTCTCTGTTATATTTGCTAATGTCAATAATTTATGGAGTATTTGTTTCTTTAAATGCCTTCGGTATATGAGCTCCTGGGGCGTGGATACAGATAAGTTCTTCTGGACCTTCTGACTCACAAAAAATTGAAAGAGAAGAAAAATTTGATCATCAAAATACAAGAGGTCTAATCTACCTCAGTGTTACTCCCAAGTTATGTATTATAGCATCTGGATCATGGGAGTTAAAGAGCTGCAGCCTGGGTGTAACACAGAAGGAATTAGACCTTTTTTCATTTGGTCCCACCCCATTTACTATAAAAAAAGCAACTTCAGTATATCTTTTTTTAAAAATATGGAATAAGCAGTGAAAATCTGCGTATTGGAGAGATATGACAGACTAATGCAGACTGCATGCTTGGAGCTAGACATAACATTATTTGAATTTGCATGAAAAAGACCACCAAAAGCAGCACTTTGAAGGAAGTAAAATTACCAGCTCCCCTGAATGACATTTGCAAACACCAGTTTCAACATTTATTCCTAATTTAAAGCATTGTAAATTAAAAAGCAGATCACTAATTTCTCAATAAATTCTTGTCTTCAGTAGTTTTTCTAGAGTTGCTGGTGCCCTAAGAAACATTTGCACTTTCTGCATTACCCTGCTCTTAGTCCAGCATACAAAGATGTTTGGTACGATGCACAGACTGTACTTATGAGGATTCGTAGAACTGCTTTTTATCATGCTAGTATTTCCTGATTTTAAAAAAAAAAAAAAAAAAAAAAAAAAGCAGACTTCAGAGAAGGAAAAAAACCCCAAAACTTAATTTCTCTGCCTTTTCTCCCACACATCACTAGGCAAACAGTATTACTGAAACACCACTTTGAAAATATTTACATAGTACTAGTGGGAAGGCAGCTAAGCTGTGATACTTCTGTATGCCTGAATATTTGGCCAAGGTAAAAAACAAATAAAGTTGGCAAGTTTCTTTTTAATTAATTCTGTTATCTATTCCAACTAGAATAAGGAACAAATCAGAACAAATGTTCATGCTTTTGCAGAAATGGAAAATAGCAAACCTATTCTCCAAGGAAAGGAAATAGCTAGTGGGAAGACAATAATGTTTTCAATTAGCAAGTGAGTGAAGCCAACCTTCAAATTTCCTTTTCAGTGCACAGGAGTAGGTTCATTTAATGAAATAGAGAATTTTTATGGTGGTATGCATATCATTCTTTGGTAGATGAATATGACAGTATTCAAGATATCTTGAATGTAATAGATTTTTCTTTAATCCAAATTGCACAGATAACTTAAAATAAGGACCTTGTTCGGGGAAAGAGAGCTGCTGAGATATTGGCTTAATGTGTAAATACTACTAACACCTATTGGCTTAGGGATAGGAGGAAAAGAGGATGGCAAATGTGATGCCAATGTCTGAAAATGCCTCTGAGGTCATTTGTGGAAGAGATGCTAGTAGAACTGATACATGCGGCAGAAAACTGCCAGAAAGTATGCCTAAGAACACATGGACAGTAACACAGGATAACGGGTTAGAATAACTGGGATTTTGGAGACCAACTTCTTTGAATGATCATGCAGATACAGGCAATTTGACTGCTACACTTCCATTTCAAAAAGCTTCTGATGAATTTGACCATCAAACTCAAACTATGCTATGAAGGGGGAACTACAAAAAAGATGCCAAGAAATAAAAATGGATTTCCATTGCTACCTAAAAATGTAAAAAGAAGTGTAAAATCATTGATTATTTTCTTTTAGAGTGGAGGATATTACCTAGCAGTCTCACAGATACGTTTTCAGTACACTCACAAATGAACTGGAAAATGGAGGAATAAAAAGGGACAGAGTTTTCTGATGATAGTCAACTACAGAGGTTAATAAAAACAAAAACTGACTGCATATTGCTGCAAGAGGACCTCATGATATTGAATGATTGCAAAATAACCAGAAACATGTAAACCAATAATAAAGATAATCCTCTACAAGATGCCTGAGATTCAGTTTTTGCCAGTACAAGAATTACAGCCAAAATAATAATTCAGTAACAAATTTACAATAACAAAAAGGTGTTGTATCACCTACTCCACAACTGAACTTTGGAAATCATTGCTACGAGACACTGAATATCAAAAGAACAAATGGCAAAAGGCCAACTAGAGTAAAAAAAGACTCTTAGGGACTATTAATTATAAAAAAGCAATACAGTGTCTGTCTTCAATGTACCTGTGTGATAAATACCTCAAAGGAAGTTGAGATGGCTTACTATCTATTTACTCTGTCCTTACACTTCTCTCCTGAACATCCAACACTGGCCACTGGCAAAGAAAGGATACAGGGCTATAAGTACTTTTGATTCAACCCAGTGCAGCCACTTTTTATGTTGTATGATGATCACAAGTAATTTAAAAAAAGGGAGACAGAAACCATTTACATTTCCAAATGAAGACACTGATCCTAAAGTAGCTTACATTTAGCTATTGGGAAAGTAAATCAGAGCCTTTTAAGAAAACCTTCTGATGGATTTTGACAGACTTTGATTGCAGGCTACAGCCATCACCTTGTTTAAAAAAAGCCCCGAGTAAATATTTCTATTATTGGTTAGAAATAGGATTTAACCAAAACTCCAGAGCTGAGCATTCAGGCTTGCAGAGAATGCTGTGCTGAATTCACCATGAATTGGGCATTGCTAACCACCAAGCTAAAAAAATCCTAAAAGAGTACTTCTAAAATAAGGCATGAAGAAAAAGCTGTGGTAATGTCTCTGATGCCTGGAATCCATCACATCTTACCTACAGATTAATTATGCTTTAGAACTGCCTGTTTCTTTCCATTGACTATGAAGGGGATTCAAGTGACTAGTTCAGATACAGAAGTTTTCATTAGTGGTCTAAAATCAGATTAGATGAAGCCCACAGCCCTGGAGCCTCATTAACTAAAGTCCAACTTAACTTTTATCTGTATCTGCTTTGCAAACCAAACTCCTCAATGCAGTGCAATATTTGCATGAATCAAACATTTGATATGTGTGGAACAAATTATTTTGAAGAAATGCATAGACAATTTTAATGATACATAGTAAATTTTGAGGCTACTTACGTCAGATTTAGGCCGTGCTCCAGTCAACATTCGGTAAGGTAAACAATTTAGATACTGGTAGTCTCCTCTTCTATTTTTCCAAGATCCTTTTTCTTGATAATCTCCATAAAGGCCTGTCTCTACTTGAGCAGGGCACTGTAAGAGAATTTTTAAAAGCCTATAAATAAAGACAAGTCAGAAATATTTTTAATGTGAACTCTAAGATAAAAACTTTGGAATTTTATCTTTTTCCTCTGATTTTATCTTTTCCTCTGGATTTTTCTCCTCTGATGTAAGGCAGACATTTGGTTTCAATTTTTTTTTTTCTTAAAAGCACCTGCTGCATCATTTTTACACTTTGCTAAGCTAAACATCCAGCCATTATGGAAAGTAGCTTCCTTAACATCCAGTATACACAACTGGAGAACTAATCAAAAACAGTACATCTTCCTTTAACTTAAAGGAACTGAATCATTTTGTAGAAAGAGAAATGATTTTATTAAAATTATTTTTAAACTTTATTTCATGTTTATTTTTGTATATTAAACGGAGACCCAGAAAATTCCCATTTTCAAATTACAGATTCTGCACTTTTCAAATAAATTTTTCCTTATTCCCTGAAACCTGCAGAGTTCTCATTTCATTGTTCCACTCCCACACCATTTTTTAAAAGGTGGGTGTCCTAATTCTGGGCTCACACTGAATGCAGTGTCAGGATGAGTCTAACTGCACAACATTCCCTCATGTATCCTGGTTTGCCCAAGGAATAACTGTGTGAGTGAGCAAGAAGCAATACATGTTGCAATCCAGCAGAATCCATACCACAGACAATCAGAGAAGCAGGGTCATGGGTGCACTGCAGAGCAATCCCAAGCTGTTGGGTACAATTATTCTAATCAGCCCATTTTCAGGCTCTTCCCCTTTATAAAGTGACATATGTGCTGCTGATTTTTAACAGCAACTGCCCAGTTCTCATTTAATACATTTTGTAGGGGTGTAAAATGAGGAGGCTTTGAAAAGGTGACAAAAAAATTAGTATGCAGCCCCCAAAAAGTTTGAAGACAATATACTAATGCAAAAGAATTAAATTATTAAATAAACTATAATCAAACAGGAATTCCCTGCCATTCATAAATAATAAAAGACTGAAGCACAAAAAAATGGGATTCTCATTCACAAGATTTCCTGCTTTTTCTGTAGTGAAACTGAGTAGAAGATACTAAGTGTAATGGAGCAGATATATTAAACAACATGGAAACACACTGCAGCAAGAGTGATTTATCTCTGATGTTTCATTTACAAAATGTCTGCTTCCATACTGCTAGGAAGATTTTATTTCATAGGAAAGGTACATATTTTACAGGAGTGGAACTATTGAATGTGTTTTTCCAAAACTAGCTCTTTTGTTGTTAGTACATTTAGACAGTACTGTTATTTGCACTTAAATCATGTGTTTATAGCATTGGTGAGAGAGTGTTTCAGAAAATAATTTGATTGTAGACAATTATTTTTAACATCTCCTCTAGATCAGCTACTGAGGAATCCAATCAGTGCTACTTCCTCATAATATTTGCCAACAAAAAAATGACCAGTAGCAATTTGTGGTTTACACAGTTGTAAAACAAGTCATCCCTTAGCCTTCATGTAAAAGCTATTATGTTTTAGAAAACAGCTTGAATTTTCTCACCAAAATACTGCAAAACTCTCTACTCTCACCCAATAGGTCCCATAATATTTATTCACCCAGCACATATTTTGGTTTCTTTTGTAAAAAAAAAAAAAATCTGTTTAAATGAGTATTATGAATAACAGATACATTCACAACAGGAAAATGCAAAGAATAAAAAATATCAAAGAATTACTTCCATGAACAGGTGAAAAATCCTTCAGTAGAAAACTGACTGGATCAACCTAGTGATTAAATTACAAAATATATTTTGTAGATACAGCATTTGCTATAAGAAATAACTATGTCATCTGTTAAAAATTGTCCACACCCTCAAGAGAACAACTTTCAGAGAAGCAGCTCCAACAAACCATGTTCCCACTCACACAGTAGTCACCTGCTTTGGAGATTTCGAGCCTCCAAAGCCAGCCTTACATCATAATTTCTTCTGTTAGTACCCAGTTGGGGATAAAACCATATGAAGAACACTGAAGCAGTTCATTTTATAGAAGCCAAATTTACACAGTTACTAGTAAACATATGTTTGAGAAAAGCCTTCTTTTTATTCAAGTATCATGGTGACAAGAAGAAAACATTAACATTTGATACGTGTGGAACAAATTACAAACTATAGTCAGAAATATGGTAAAATTAGCATGAACTGATAGAATATAAACTACTCATACAACTTGTGTGAAAACCAGACTTATTTTTTCCACTGCAACTGTCATTTTGAGATCTGCAGTAGCTGTTTCTTCACAGTACATTTATGTTGAGATTTATGAGGATCTATCTCTTCTTTGACTAGAAAATAAAACTAAAGCCACCCATTCTGAGGCAAATTATTCATTAATCCTTAAAGCAGAGCAGATGGTTCCCTTGCTCTACAAATTCTTTTGCAGGAGACAGCAAATGGTATTCCACCATCAGTTCCACAAGAGATTTTACAAGACTCTTTTTTGGCTCTGACCTTGCTGGTCTCATCAGAAAGACTGTGTATTAAGTGTTGTGCATTAAGTGACCTGTCCAGCTTCTGCATTGAAATTGGCTCTTTAAAGGTTTAAAGGTAATTTCCAGTTTGTCAAAGAAGGCTACAATAAAACGTGGCTGACTCACATATTTGCCTGTCCACACACAACTAAAATGAAGAGATCACTTCTATCCTTTAGGGTGAGGAAGAGGTGGCTTGATAAAGAGGACTGCAACTTCTCAAATATCATATTAAATAAAACAGTAATTTTGGTGCTGGTATTGAGAACATCCTAACACTCAAGCTGAGACTTTTGGTGGGAGCATATGTCCCAGAAAAAGGGCTGTGATGAAAGTCCTGGTCTCTCTGTACTCAGAAGATGTCTTGCCACTAGGTCTCGGGAAGAGAAGTGCAAGCATCTGGGCTGCTGGTAATGACATTCTCTATGCAAACATATCTGATGATGCTGTTCTTAATTATTAAAGTTCATTTGAAAATGTCACCTATTTAGATTTTTCTGCTGTTTACATGCAATAGGATTTGAAGACGTATCCTGTGATCTTCAAGCCATCACAGTTTTTACATTAGTAGAATAGGCACAGCCATAAAATAATGGGTGTTTAGATCACTGGTTACCCGACTGTCTCACAATGGGAAGTGTTTAAACTCGGATGGCTGGGATTTCACTTTCAGACAGAAAAGCAGACTACACTGTCACTGTATTTTGACAGAAACACTGAGCATTCTCCTGCAAAAAGACAGAACACTGTCCCTTAATAGGCAAATTAATTATGAAATTAATTTAGCTGGACAGAGCTGGTTCTAACTGGCTGACACGTACAGTAAGAAAGAAATGAGAGATGGCCATGGCCATCTGTTACTAACACTCTCTCTGTAGAACTTGGAAATACAAAGTGCAAGATTCTGAACATCCCACCTAGAGAGACAGGAACATTTACATTGTGATGATCCAAAAAGATGCTTTCTTTAAGAATTTACTTTTACAAAATGAAGCAGCAGTGACAGCAAAAACATTCACAAAAGATCACCCTCCACAAACTTCAAGCCAACATTCAGAGCTGAAAATCCACACAATTCGATCTTAAGAATTGAGTTTAATCATAGCCTGAAGTAGAGAACAAATACTTCTATTTCTCATGCTGGTCATTTTACATTAATCCCTTATATAAAAACCCTTGCTCATTCAATATCATTGCTCCTTTAATTCTATTTGCCCTCAAAATAAAAGCTTGAGAAACTGTTTGTCATCAATGCATGACAGCTGTCATCACAAAATATTCTTAACTAGAGGATTGCAGCTCTAAATCAACTATTCAAAAGCAAGCAAGCAAGCAAGCAATCTAGTTGTCCTGGGTGAGGGACACTAATTCAACCCTTAATGAAGACAGTGTCTCTCCTGCTGTTATATCTTCAAATAAATATGACAAGTATTAATAGGCTACCACTTAAATTGACAGTCTGAAAACCATGAGAGCAAATATCCCTAAAAATAATTAAAAAAAAAAGGTGTACAGTGCTTTTAAGCTATCCTGACAGAAAATTTAGAAGTTTCACCCTATCAAGAGGTCTGGTTATTTGACCATTAGCTATCTAATGAAACTAGAAATTTCATTTTATTGAGAGAAAACTTCTAACTTCCCCCTTACACCTGAGCTATTTGGCCTATTCTGAAACATAACTGAAAGCTAAGGCTTGAGGAGTGTTGTAGCTAAATGTTAGAGGAGGTACCATATGACATACATAAATTCTTACCAGTTTTTTGTGCCTTTTAGAAGAGGGAGTACTGGAGGGAGAAGAGCCAGCACTCAGAGCTTCTTCAATATCTAAGTTCAACTGTTCCAGTTTCTTCATAAGCCATGACATAGAGTCTGGCCATTCAGATTCTTTTTCTGGTTGGGTCTAAAAGAAATCAAACATTTGTGAAGTCTTAAAATATTCAAGATATTTGTAACTTGAAGATGCTTATCTTCTCTTCCAGCCCCCAAGGAAAAAGCTGACCAGTTCTTTCCCTGTCCTTGAATGACATTCTTCCATTTAGAAAGCTTCAATTATCACTCCAATCCTGATGACACATATTCATAGCTGTTCTACATACTCAAATGACTTTTGTATATCTGAATGACTTTCTAACAATTCATTTTGGGTGACCCACTGCTATTTCAAGCTAAGCAGAATCGAGACTAAAACTAACGTCAGTTCAATGCCTCTTCTTAAGCCACTTCTATTTCAGCATCTCTCCACTGATTGCTTGTTGCCAACAGGAACCAGAATATCAAAGATCATAATGTGCACTGTATTATATTCCTTACTATAATTCTAGACTTGTAGAATCTCTGCCCCTATGGTGGGAACACTTTATTGGTAACTTTGTCACTAGGATGCATTTTCCTTTTTATCTGAAGAGTTTTAGTGTATAACAAAAAATGTAATCTATTGTAATGTAATTGACAAAGATGCTTTTCTTATTCCTTAGTTTCCTCAAAATCCTTTCTAGTACTC